TTAGTGTACAGAAAGACTTGAAGAATTGGGAGAAGCTGCAACTATCTCTCATGGGAAGAATTGCAGTGATAAAAATGAATATTCTACCCATGTTTCTTTTTTTGTTTCAAATGCTACCGATTTTGAAGAATGAGACTAATCTAAGTGAATGGCAGAAGGGTGTTAATAAATTTATTTGGCCAGGGAAAAAGCCAAGGGTTAAGTTTAAAATTATGCAAGACTTCCGTGAGAGAGGTGGACTCAAGGTACCGAATTTGAAATTATATTATGATGCGGTGGTTTTAACACTAATTAGTGACTGGGTAAATTTGACGAATCTCGAGATACTCCATCTAGAGGGATGGGACTTATTTTATGGGTGGCATGCCTATTTAATATTCAATAAAAAAGTGGATTGGGTTTTTAAATCTCATATTATAAGAATTTCTTTACTTAGGATTTGGAGAAAATATTATAAAAGTGATTTTAAAGTACCATTATTGGCTATACCCTGGCATGCGATAGAGGGAATAAAAAGAGGTGTTAAAATGGACATGGTGTCTTATAGACAGCTACTCAGATGGGATGGACAAAATTGGCAATTAAAATTACGGAAGGAGCTAGCACAAGAAAATATTATTTATTCTTGGTTTCAATATAGGCAATTAGCAGATAGATGGAAGGTGGATTGTAAGGTGGGCTTTCTTAGAGAAGATGAAAATCTTATTAAGCAAGTGAAGGATCAAAGACAAGCCCATATTAAGAGAATTTATGGGGTGCTAGTCGAATTGGACTCAGAAACGGAATTAATTAAAGATTGTATGATTAGATGGGCCCAAATCTTTGGTGAACCAGTCCCATTGGATACATGGGAAACCATTTGGGTAAGAAATGTCAAATTTACACAGGCACAGAATTTAAGGGAGAATTTTTATAAAATGTTTTATAGATGGCACCTTGACCCACAAAAAATGTCTTTCATGTACCCGGACTTACAGCCTAAATGTTGGAGATGTGGTTGCTTGGATGCCACCTATTATCATATTTGGTGGTCGTGCAGAGAGATAAAAGCATTTTGGATTAAGATATGGTGGAATATTCAGAGAATTTTCAGAAGGAGGGTAAAATTTACTCCGCAGTTATTTTTGTTGGGTATAATTACTGATTGTGATACAAAGGAGGTTATATTGATGTTAAATTTGATTACAGCCGCAAGGCTGTTAGTAGGACAATATTGGAAGAAGGAATCCTTGCCTACACTGCAGGAATGGTTTTTCAAAGTGTCTTATCTGGCGGAAATGGCAAAGATTTCGGCTTTTTTAAAGGAACAAACGCAAGAGAAATTTCTTGCTGTTTGGGATAAATGGATAGAATTTATACAATTTAAATTGGATATAAAAAAATATCATATTGCTTTTGCATAATTTTTATTTATATATATATATATATATTTCAGTCTTAATTTTTTTTCTTTTTTATATATAATTTTTTTAATTCCTTTTTAATTAAGCCTATATTCTGCTCTGGGAAGCTCAGGGGGGGGGAAGGGGGGTGTTTTGGGGGGGGATGCGGAAGGGGATGTTATGTTTAGTTTTTTGTATATGTTGTTTTTTGTTTTTGAATCATTGTATTTTTTTTCTGTTTTTTTGTAAAATTTATAAAAATTTTCAATAATAAAAAAAAAAGAATGGGAGGATGTAATGGCAGATGGAATCAAGCTGGAGGCCTAAATGCTAACTATCTGAGATCTGAAGATGACACCACATTGTTAGTCAGAAGTAAACAAGAATTAGAAGAGCTCAATAGCAAAAATGGAAAGTGAGAAGTAAAATCTGAATTAATGATAAATATTAAGGCAATGACAACCAGCATGCTTAGTGAACTTACAGTTGTCTGTGAAGAAGCAAAGGTGGCAGAAAGTTTTATTTTCTTGCACTGAAGAAGAGGTGAAGAGGAACAATGTGTAGGAAGAGTAAATAGATTAATCCTAGAGAAGAAGGCAATATGCCATACTTCAGCCTGGCATAGCTATAAATTTAGGCTCTCTAGATTCTCCACTCCTTGTTCTGGAATTGACTTAGTAAGTGGCAGACATTGAGACACTAGTCAATCAGTGTAAATACTTTATTGTAGGGAAGAATGAAGCCAACTACAACAAGCCATCTGCCTGCTGAAGCATGCAGCAATCAAAACCTATCTATATGCCATTACTCCAATGTTTCTAGTGTTTCTCCTTTCACTTTTCTTTGTGTAATGCATATTTGATAAAGGTAACTGGGATTTATTAACTTAAAGTTCATTTTAATCTAGGAATTGCTGATCCCCAGCTTCATTCCCAACCATGAAAAATTTAGGCAAAAAAAAACATGAATAAGGATATTTTTAGGACGAGGAAGATCAGAACTGTTAAAGGTCTTTCCTGTGGTAAAGTGTGCCTGTGAAAGTTGGCTATCATAAAAGAACAGGAGAAAGAAGGTAGACATCTTCACGTTCTGAATCGGAGGATAGTTACAAGGAGGTTCCATGAATTAGCAAAAGAGCCAGATAATCAGTGACAAATAAAAGAGGGTCTTGAGGTGATCAAGAAACAAAAACTTTGGGCATATGCAGTAATATAAGCAGTTGATGGAATTTATTATGTTTGGCAAGGTTGAGGACAAAGAAGGAGAACACAACAAATTAAGAAAATAGAATTAAAAAGACTGTTAGAATGTCCTTGGAAGAGAATACCAAGTATTACTGGGGAGAGGTCAAAACAGCAAGGACGCGTCCATGTATTCATTAGGAGTTGAGTAACCAGCACTTGAAAGCTTATGGCATTTCTCTCCCATCAATAAGAATTAAAGAATCATTTATAGCTGTAGATTGAAGATCCACCCTATCTGTTGGCTCTCCAAGAAAGTAAAGAAAGTTCCAGTTCACATATCTATCCACCCATAAGGTAGCCCAGTGATGGCGAACCTTTTAGAGACTGAGTGCCAAAACTGCACCCCAAAACCCACTTATGCATCATCGAGTGCCGGGTGGGTATGGCCCATTGGCTGGGTGTGGCCAATTGGGTGGGCGTGGCTATGGTGGTAATGGCAGACTGGGTGGGACTAAAAAGTTCAATCAATCAATTTCAACTTTGCAAGATCTTTTTTTTCCCGCGAGAAGTTGAAATTGACTGATTGAACCTTTTTTTTTTTGGCACATGGCGGCGAGGCCTAAAGCGAAAAGGTTTTATAAAACCCAGCTGAAGGCCTAGGACTGGGGCGACGGCGTGCGTGCCCACAGAGAGGGCTCTGAGTGCCGCCTCTGGCATCCGTGCCATAGGTTCGCCACCACTGAGGTAGCCCATACCTTTGCCACTGAGCTAGCTTGCAGGGTGAACCAAGATTTCTAGTGGCCAATTTGACAAACATTGGAAATAAATGATTCCACCCTCTTAGAAATTCAGGGAAGAATAATGCTCTGTGCACCCAGGTATTCATGTGGAGAACACTTAACTTTATAAGCTCAGCATAGCAATGGAGAGTGGCTCTCACAACAGTTACCGTATTTTCCAGCATATAAGACGACTTTCTAAACCATGAAAATCTTCTCAAAAGTCGGGGTCATCTTATACGCCGGGTATAAGGGGGGACAGCCTGGTAACGGAGGAGGAGAACCAGCACAGGATCTAAGCAGCTCAACGTTTTGGAAGGAAGAGTGAGCCGCGGATCCTCCAGCGACTGTTCTGGGCGCTGGAGCAGCAAAAGGACGATTCCGGACGCCATTAAACGCTGCGCATGTGCAGATATGCTGCCGCACCTACGCAGAAGAAGGGCGAGCCACCGAACAGCTGACGAGCGGCAAGCCGGTGAACAGCTGATGGGCAGTAGGCGACAATTATGATTAACAGTCAAGGGCGTACCATATTGAAATCAAATCTGATGTTTTTTAACTTTTATTTGGTGTGCGTTGGGAAAGGGGTAGTCTTATACGGCGAGTATAGCCCAAACTCTATATTTTAACTGGAAAAGTTGGGGGTTGTCTTATACGCCCAGTCGTCTTATACGCTGGAAAATACGGTAATTTCTTAAATTGTTATTCTGACAGACAAATGCACAGATATGTTCGTCCTAGGTCCTCAACTCCAAGTGCTTGCATTTTGAAAGTGTAGTAATTGTTTCTTTTATTCTCTCCAAATTCAGCTTCTTACAAAGATCCCAGGGCTTACACAGAAACAAGGGAAAGAAAGAAAAGGCAAAATTTCCTTTCCCCCCTCTCCTTCTCCCTTTCCTCCTCTCCCTCCTCCTCGTCTCCTTCCTCTTTCTCTTCCTCCTCCTTCTTCCTCCTCCTGCTCTTCCTCCTCCTCCTCCTCCTGCTCCTTCTCCTCCTCCAACAGCATCACCTACCTCATTGGCTAAGCCAGTGGTTCTCAGCCTGTGGGTCGGGACCCCATTTGGGGTCGAACGACCATTTCACAGGGGTCGCCAAACAACGCAGTCCGCCATTTTTCCCCCCTTTTCCTTAGCTGTGCTACTCCCTTTTATTCTATTGGCTTTTGAAAGCCAATAGAATAGACTCTCTCTTGAATAGAGTCTAATTCTATTGGCTTTCAAAAGCCAATAAGAATTGTCCAGGCTGTCTCTGCCCTGCTGAGCCCGCCAAAAGTCCCATTCTGCAAACGGTACTGCACCAGTTGAGTAGTCCTCAAATTACGACCGGTTGAGTAGTCCTCGACTTACGACCGGTTGGGGGTCGCGGCATTAAAAAGGTTGAGAAGCACTGGGCTAAGCAAAATTCACAATCAGTGTTGTTCATCTCCCAAATGAAAACATTGTGCCCTTTTGCCATGGCCACTCAGCATTGGTGACATGGGTGGGCGTATAAACCTGACAAACAAACAAACAAAACAAGAGGCAGTTGTGTTACTCCAAAGCAAGGTGCATCTCTTCCACCTCAAGAGCAGAGTTGGGAAGGCACATTGTCGGTAGTGGGGGTTGCGTGGTCCAGCTTTCCAGATGGATTCAACCTTTGCCTCTTACAGCACTTACCTGCAGTTGCAGTGGGCCTAAGCCTGGGGTTGCTGCGGCAGCAGCTGCCATTGTTGTTGGAATCAGCTGAACAGGGTAAGGGTCACCTAAGTAAGAAAATAATAGAGGCGTCAGCACCTTTTATCTACTCTCCACCTGCAAATTAAACTCCTGCATTCACTCCTTCCAAAAGCCTCTTTTTGTGTTCCTCCCAGAGTTCTAATGAAAAGCTCCATTGTGAGGCCTTTTACTAACACTCTTCACAATTCTGGCTGAGGGAGGAACAGGAATAAAAGGGACAAGCAATTAAGGCGGAAACATCATCCTTTTTCATGATGTATTTAGGGAAATGGGGAGGGGGCAGGGAAGCGCGCCTTGATCAGAGGACTGAGCTTCCAAAAAAAGGAGGGAGGCGGGAAAGCATGAAGGAAACAGAAGAAGAGAGATAGATAGAGAGAGAGAGAGAGGGAGCGGGGCAAGCATGAAGGAAACAGAAGAAGAAAGAAAGAGAGAGAGAGAGAGGGAGGGAGGGAGGGAGAGAGAGAGAGAGGGAGAGAAACAGAAAGAAAGAGAAGGGAAAATGGTAAAACCTTGATCAGCACAGAGGATAGGGCCAAATATATATAAATGTATATATATGTATATATATATTAGAGGTCTGCCTACAATGGGAGCTTAACCCAAAGGTGGTTCATTTTGAAGGAAGGCACAGCTCAAATCTCAAAAGTGTTTTTTCAAAAGGCAACTGGACTATTTTTTTTTTCTTGAGGAAGAAAAAGAAAACATTTTTTTTTCCTCAAGGAAAAAAAACAACAATCCAGTTTCTTTTTGAAAAAGCACCTTTGAGACAACCATGTCCCAGATGACTGAGAATCTCCACAGACCACAGCTCAAATCTTCTTCATTTTGAAGGGATGAAAACCAGGATCCAATTTGGGCATTTCAACCTGTATTTGCGCTGCTTCCAGCTCTTGATCTACCTTTGTCTGAAATGGTAGGGAGTCGCTTGTTGAGCGGGGGGTTGGACTAGAAAACCTTCAAGGTCCCTTCCACCTCTTGTTATTTGGTTACCTTGCCTGCCACCCCATCCCAGCCTCGGTTGGATTCACTTCATCCTGAGCTTTGCTGAGGAAAGTTTTTTTTTTTTAATATACCAAGCACCACAATTGTTATTTTCTTTATTGATTACATTTGTTTGCCATCCATCTCGCCGCAGTTGTGGACAAAGCGTCAAAGTCCTATTGACAGAAATGTTGAAATATGCATTAGCATTAGCTGTGGAGGGTGGAGAAAAATATAGCTTTATTTTTCCCTCTCTTGGTCTATCAAACAAAGTTGCCCACTTCTCTTGGACAAAAGCCAGTATAGTGCTAGGCTGCATTAAGAGAGGGATAGAATCAAGATCACATGAAGTATTAATACTACTTTACAATGCCTTGGTAAGGCCACACTTGGAATACTGCATCCAGTTTTGGTCACCACGATGTAAAAAGATGCTGAGACTCTAGAAAGAGTACAGAGAAGAGCAACAAGATGATTAGGGGACTGGAGGCTAAAATATACAAGGAATGGTTGCTGGAATTGGGTATGTCTAGTTTAACGAAGAGAAGAAGGACGAAGGGGGGACATGATAGCAGTCTTCCAATATCTCAGGGGCTGCCCAAAGAAGAGGGAATCAAGCTATTCTCCAAAGCACCTGAGGCAGGACAAGAAGCAATGGATGGAAACTGATCAAGGAGAGAAGCAACCTAGAACTAAGGAGACACTTCCTGACAGTGAGAACAATTAACCAGTGGAACAACCTGCCTCCAGAAGCGGTGAATGCTCCAACACTGGAAGTTTTTAAGAAGAGACTAGACAGCCATTTGTCCGAAATGGTATAGGGTTTCCTGCCTGAGCAGGGGGTTGGACTAGATGACCTCCAAGGTCCCTTCCAACTTTATCATTATTATTATATTATTATTATTTATTAAAAATGGGGTGTCCCTTGTTTCTCTTTTTGAGGGCCTCGCTTAGATTTTGAAGGAGTGGAAGGGGTGCTCTGAAAAGTTTTTCGGTGGGACTGGAGGAAAGTCGGAATGTCATTTCACCTTCTCCCCATTTAATTCAAATTACATTGGACAACGGTCGATGAATGTGTATTTGGTGATTTCTCCCTTCCACATCGCGTTAAAAACAACAATTTTGGAAATACAATAAGAAAAAAACCCCGTGTATTAACTCACAAATTTGCGAGATTTTATCTAACGGTAGGGCCGGCTTGTGTCTTTATTTTTGTGGTGCAGGTAATCCTTTTATTTACAACCCTTCGTTTAGTCCCCGAAGTTATAAGGGCCCTGAAAAACGGGACTTGTGACCGTTTTTCAAACTTACAACTGTTGTAGCCTCCCCACAGTCACGTGATCAAAATTCAGGAGGTCATGTGATTCCCTTTTGCCTCCTTCTGATAAGCAAGGTCAATGGCAAAGCCAGATTCACTTAACAACCGTGTTAGTAAGGTGACCAATCGTCCTCCTTTAGGGAGGACAGTCCTTCTTTTGTAACTCATTTAAATAATAATTCATAGGCATATAAGCATAATTACAATATAAGATGTTATTGTTACAAATGTTTTTTTTATTATGCATTTATCATATTATAGTGTATTCTGTATTGTTGCAATGAATAAAATGTTTTATTTACGATATTTTTTTCCTTCAATTTATTTGTGTCCTCCTTCTCATTGTAAAAAAGTTGGTCACCTTAGTGTTAGTAACTTAACCACTGCAGTGACTGACATCACAACTGTGGCAAGAAAGGTCACAAAAAAAAGAACCCCAACTCACTTAACAACAGTCTTGCTGGGCTCAGTTATGGTCATAAGTGAAGGACTACCTGTAGTGTCTTTCTTAGTACTTTCCCCCCTCCGGCGGTATTTCCTTTAAATGGATTATAAAGCCTTCTGCCCTTATGACTATTTTTAAGATCAGTATCTATGCTCCATCTAATTAGCTTTGAAACTGTTGTCAACTAGATTTTTTAAAATAATAATAATAAATTATTTCAAGAGTTTTGACTTCCCCCTCTCCCCCTCAGGGCTTGGCAGTTTTCAGAAGTCGGACATCAGCTGACCGCACTTAAATTGGAAATTAGCCTTTGCAAAGTTTTGCTCATGGACCAAGAAGAATTTTAATACTGCCCACATGATCCTCCATTAAAAATAAAACATGTGGTGATCTTAACAAGACCAAACCAAACAGAGAAACATCAACAATTCTGCCCAAAGAAAGTTTGCAGCATTTAAATCCCAAACATTCATGTTATCATCCTGTAGCAGAAAGTCATTAACTATTATTTTAAATGTTGTAACTCTCCAGGATCATCCTGTGTACTTTGGGCATTAAATACATTGATAAAATAATTGTGTGTGGGTGGGTGTGTTTGTAATTTTGTATGTGTGTATATAAGTATGCACATAAGCAAAATCTACAAGTTAGCTATGTTTTTATGTTATTATTCTTATTACTACCTATACAAATCAATGCATTATATTACACAAATAAACATCAACTCTACATGGCATGGGTCCAGGTATCTGAGGAGACGTCTCTCTCCAGTGGGACTAGCCTGCCCCACACATGCCAGGGGAAGAGTCCTGCTATGGATCCCATCTGCTAAGAAATTCCAGCTGGTGGGTTCAAGGAGAAGAGCCTTTTCTGCTGTGGCCCCATTCCTGTGGAACACTCTACCACTGGAGCTAAGAATTGCTCCCTCCCTTTTGGCCTTCCAGAAGGGTGTTAAAACCTGACTTTGCCAGTTGGTTTGGGACCACGAGGGGGGAGATGATAGATGGGGTAAAAAGACCTCATCTCCATCCTGCCCATCATTTCGTTCTGGTTTCAGTAATGTTTTAACATCTTCATTTGTGTAATTTTAATGTTTAATTACTTTTCTACTTGGTTTATAACCTGCAAGCCGTCCAGAGTCACTTTATAGGGGAGACAGGTGGCGTAAAAATTTAATCAATAACTAAACAATTCGATCTGAATGATGTTAAGAAAACCAGCAAAGGGTCCAGCATTCCTTCAACCGATTAACTTCAAGGTGCATTGTCGTGTGCCAATTTTAAGGAGTAATTTAGATATTTTATTATCTGAACTCTGGTAAACTTCTTTTTAGGTTTTTAGTAATTTTTTTAAAAAAAAATAATTTCTACGTGCGCTAATTTGCCACGTAAGAAAAATAAAATGTCCTGACTGCACAAGGATTCTACATCTGCCTTCCTAAAGGGATAACAGCCTTTCCTGTCCATTAACATCAGACTGCTGTGATATGACTCAGCTTTTAACCGAACAAGAAATCTTTAATTTTCTCCCTAAAATCAGCAGGACTTTAAAGAACTTATTTCAGAGTAGACTAAAATAGGAACTCATTTAATGCTCAATTATTTCTGGCGGTGTTTTTTTCCTCTTTTCTTTCTAGAGGAAGATAACAGAGAAGAGTATCTCTTTTAAAAAGAGAGAGAGAAAAAAAGAATGAGAATTCTAGCTAATTCCAGTCCTGGATTATTTATAATTATCATATATATCCTAACTTTGACAACATCATGTATAGTGTTATTTTGGCAGAGTTTGGGCCCAAAGTTCAAAGGCAGCTTGAAAATAACTTGTTTTCCCACATTAATTGTGCAATAAGTGATTATTGGAACAGAGTAGCATGTTCCAATATTAATCTTCCCTTCTTGTTTTGCAACTCTTTCTCAAGGTTTAGATGGACCGATAATAGCAAACAACCAGAAAATGGTATGGGCAGTGGTGCCAGAGGTGGCACTCGGAGCCCTCTCTGTGAGCACATGTGCTGTTGCCCCAGCCTCGCCTCCCCCCGTGACCCCCTCCTCTCCAGCAGCCCCCCTGAAGGAGAGTCGTCCCTGAACATAGCCCACCCGGAGCAGTGCAGCCAAGGACATGGCAGCCAGGCAGCGTAGACAAGACTCTGCCCTCACACCCCATCATGCACAGTTGGTATGTTGCGTGGGCAGACTGTGTGACTGCCATAGCACTGCTGGGCTGTATGGGCGATCTGCGCCAGGCCCCAGAGGTAGTGAGTGGCCCTGCGGGCAGGTGGGATG